GGTCTGCAAGTATTTGTTTCGGAGTTTGGGTGTTTTCTATGTATAATATATAGGTTTTAACAAAAAAGCATGTCATTATTTTATCAGTCAATTTAGCTATCATGGTACAAGCTCTGCTTAGTTTGAAACTAGATGGCGTTGTGTGTCAGGTGTCTGAAATATTATTATTTTATAAGTTATTGAGAGTTTTGACGTCATAACTAAAATTATTTGTTATATTTAATCATCAATGATATCATAATTTTTAACAGTATAACCAAATATCTGTGTTATTCTTCTGTCATGTTTGTCCCTTATCAGAATTAGGAGTAATAGGGTTTACTCTCTTGGAGCAAAGCAATGGTAAACACCGTGCCTTAACACCGGTACGCTCCGGTCGAGGCGGCCCATTTGCGTTCCCTATCGTCCTCCAAAAGACATTTCACTGTAATTTACAAACAAACCAACCGTATACGTATTCGCCAACTCAGCGCCAAAACCAATCCAACGATATACAATATTATCGTTTATAAAACGTCCACTATTTCAGAAGTCAATAAAAGATAATTCCCCATCAATGCTCCAGCATGTGGCGAAATCGGTGCCTTCGATGTCTGAAAAAAAAAAGAAAAACATATCCCTCTACCGCTCTAACACATAGTTCCATCTCTGTCATCCACCACATGTGTTTCCCGCCTGCGATCAATGGACAATCTTTTTTTTTAAATAATATTAACGGGTTATACTCAGAATTAATTGGTCATCAGTTCATCATTTGAATTTGGTGTTTGTCGGTTGAACATGTGTTATTAAAACAAATATTTTGTTTTGAAGATTAACAATCTAGAAATGGGTATTACGAAGAAACAGGTAAAACCACCTAATCCATTCATTTTTTCTTCTTTGGTATAAGCAATAAGGAGCAAAGGGAACAAAAGAGTTAACGGGTATTCATCAAATGGTTAGTAATTATCACATCACATCAACAACCTTTAAAAGTGCAATGCTGGACATAGGGTCTCTTTACAAAGGAGGTTTTGGCCTACTATACCACGCTGGGCAGACGGGTTGGTATAGATTTTGTTTCAAGTTTTCCTTCTCTTTACAGTGCTATTGTCTTACATAGTTTGCTCCCTTAGTCGACTCTTACGACACCCACGGGATGAATAGGGGTGGTGACACTTCGTATTCTTAATCCGTCACCACACGGACCTAACTATTGTCACCCATAAACACAACTTAAGTTGTAACCTGTCGCCCTCCCCATCGGAAGTAATTGGGGGGTTCGGTAACCTCACGCAATCGGCGAAATGCCACAAAAAAATAGCTTAACAACAATTTTCTGTGAGGCCATGTTGTTACTGCACTGACCGACCCATGTAGGCATACCGAAGCATAACTCTCCCAGTATTAAATTAAATTACTTATATGTATCTTCGCCTTCTATAGTTTTAGAACGGTTTAAGGTCACTGCTTCGCCCCTAAGGACTATAACGTAATGTTTATAATCATCCCATGGGTGTCGTAAGAGCCGACTAAGGGAGCAACCTGCGCAGGACAACAGTACTGCAAAGAGAAGGAAAACCTGATACAAACCCTATACCTATCCGTCAGGCCAGCGTGGTATCAACATACATCACATCAACAGCCATTAATAGTCTGAGGAAGGAAAGGAAGGGAAGGAAAACTTGACACAAACCATATACCAATCCATTTTGCCAGCGCGGTATAGTAGGCCAAACCTCCTGTTTAAGGAGAGGCCTGGGTCCAGCAGTAGATTAAAGGCTGTTCATAATAAAAGTCTTTTACATTACAGCATCAACAGAATAACATTACAAAATCAAGATTAATCTTTGTTTTAATAACATTACAGCATCGAGATCTTCAAGATCTGCACAAGTCTGCTCATCCACGCATAACTGTAACCCATATCTCATGTTCATACGTCTTCATAACTGAGACATATTCACAACTGCCCTGACATTTTAGTCTGGCAAAGATACAAAACGATTGATCCATTGGCAGGTCTGGCTTTCACCAGAATATGCTGGCTATTCTCAGAGTGGAACAGTTTAAAACAACAGTGTATTGCGACATGCGTACATTGTCATTTAATAACTGTCTTGAATATGAATTATCATATCAATCTCGTTCTGTTATAATATGTTTAACAATTATTTAATATACATATTTAAAGTATAGTTTTCACAGTGTAAGCGTTAAAATCTTGTAATGTAATCGGTAATGTCAAAATAATAGGTTTTTCTAGGTCTAAAAACTAGTCCGACATGCCACCGACAGGTGGTATCCGAGGGGATTTCCGCACGGGAAAAAAAATGGTCTAAAAACTAGTTGAAATACTTTTAGTCTGTCTGTCTGTTTGTTCCGGGTAATCTTAAAAACGGCTGGAGCGATTTTGATAATTTTCACTACAAGGTAGCTCTCTATACCTATTTAAGAAGTAACTTAGACTATTTTTATTCCTCAGGAAAACTTAAAAAAAATTGCCTGGTCCGGAAATCGAACCCACTAAGGCAGCGCTTTTCAAATTCCACGCGAACAAAGTCGCGGGACCAGCTAGTCTTTAATAGAAAAAATTACTTCCCCTGTCTAACTGATTCATTAACGCAGGGATTTAATCGCTAGGGCTAGAAACTTGAAATTTTGGCATTTGTTGCTTTTTATATTGTAACTACCCGCTAACAAAAATAATACATATAAAAAAATCCTTAAAAAGAAAGTTCATTAATACATTCTAAGTAATAAAGAGAGGGGTGACAATGGTAGCTGTTATCAATGAAGCGGGAGCGATCGACAGTTCGCCCGAAATACACCGTCCATCGTCCCACGCGAGGGTGTAATGACATAGTACCAGAGTGTAGTAGGTTGACCATCACTCTGTTATAGCTGTAGGACAAATCCTGAATGTGTATCCAACTTTATCACACAGCCACTATTTAAGAGCAAGAGAGACAATTTTCATTTAAAATTTCTAGAAATCTTTTTTTATGAAATACGGGGGCAAAGGAGCAGATGGGTTACTTGATAGTAAGTGACTACCACCGCCTATGGACACTCGAGTCACGATGTGTGTTGCCATCTTTTGAACATCCAAACTAAGAAGGTGGAGGGAGGAGGGGCGTGGACATCTGTCGACTAGAGAAGAAAAAGAAGCTAAACTCACTACAAGTATTACATATACAAATGACAACCTCATGGTCACCATACAACTAGGGGAATCAAAAACCAAATGTCATATTAGACATTCGGATGTCTTTTTTTGTCAACTTCATCTTCAGAGGGAGAGCGAGATCTGCTACCTGTGTCTAACGTTCATTTGGAACACATTAATAATATAAAAATATAGCTATTTTTAAAACTATTCTTAATACAAGAATTGTACCTATTTGTCAAGTAGGGGTTTTAATATAACCATACAGATATAAAAGCGATCTAAGTGGCGTGCAATGGGAGAGGCCTATGTCCAGCAGTGGACTGCGAGAGGCTGAAGATGATGTTAGAGATGAAAGCATAAAGTGAACAAGAACCCCAATCTTGCAATATAGGCTATGAGAGAGTCTCTTTCTAGTCGTGCTCTGTGGTCGGCTGCAGAAATTTGTAATCTCCCACCTGTTCTACGATCAAACCCATGCCAACCTTATGACAGCCATTCGCAGCTTTGCTAAACAGAGACAGAAGGAACTATCTGTCATCCTCGTATCTTTTCCACTTACAGGCAGCTATACTCCGTGTTTCTCTATGAATATAACTCTCTTCTCTCCTGACGGTCGTTTATTGATGGTTTTATTTGTAAAACAAATAATAGGTTTCTAGTAAGTAAGCTTGCTAAATTTGTAGAGATAAGATAACCCGTAAAGCCTCGACCGCAATTACGATGCCTTACGCTGGTCTGTCAGGGTCTAGGCCACACTTAATAATGATGGAATATGGGACCTTCCCCCCATGTTACCAATACCAACCACAATCGATTGTTCAAAGTTTAAATCGAACCCACGACCTCCAGCTTAGCAAACAGGGTTAACAAGTCGGTTAACACAAATACACACATACATATATACACTCACGTCTTTTATCCTTTGGGGGGTACACAGAGACGTATTAAACGAACACAAAAAGGAATAGTATCATTCTTTATTCGACATTTAAAAAACTAATACCACACCATATTAATTCTTTTTTTCCCCCATAACCACCAAAACACATGAGCAGTTCTCGTTTTAATCATAAATATATTTTTACGGCTCTCTCCCCTAATATTAAGTTTTTAAGTACACAGTTATGTCATCTCACACAACATTAAGTTCCAAATGAACTTTAAATTAACCAATAATTATGCCCTCGTCTACATTTGGTTTAATAATTGTATGTACTTTTTAATATTCATATTTCTGAATTATGATTTTACAATCGAACTTAATGTCAGTTATTTGAGAACTATAAATCTCAGTGACTATAAAACTGAGACAGATTTATGGGTGAAAAGAATCAGGAGCAGTTCTTCTAGAATTTACTTCTAGATTCTGACAGATCGCCTGGACCTCTACCAATAGTTTTCTAATAAATTTTAACTTTATTGTACATTTTTTTTTTAAATTACAGCTACATTTTAACCTCAAGCATTACAAACTGGGTGTTCTTTATGTCCGTTTCATGTATGTTTGTAAAGTCCCCCGCGACACAGGATATATTCCTGCCGGAGTTTAAAACAAAAAATAAATAACTATATGTTAGATACTTATTAAGATATCTATATACATATAAAATTACTTGCCCTGGGTGACTGATTCATCAACGCAGACCCTAAACCGTAAGCACTCACCAAGAAAGGATTTTTGAAAATTTCACCCTTAAATTGATAAAATATGGGTAGAACGAGAAATACGAAATTAGAAGTATTCAGTTGAGTCAAAGTTGCGGACAATAATAGTATATATAATAACATTTGAAAGTTTAAAAGTTTAGTTCAAGAAACTTTTGTACCTACAGTCATTAAGATCAAGATGGCGAAATGGCGATGGTATATTAGTTGGTTTAATTGTGACAAAAAACCCGCATATGCAATCAAAAGGGCAGGGGTATACCAGGTCAAGTCGTTAGAGTCACTGTGATCGATCATAATCAACCTGGGCACATGAGCCGAACTACGTGAGTGTCAACCTAAAAGACGAGAGCTCAGATCAAAAAGCGCGCTTAATTATATAAGTCAAACGTTTAAAAAGAATATGTTCCAAAATTGAAAGATTGACATACTGATTCTAAATTTTTAAATACAACTTAATATACCTAGTGATGTACTAATTTAAATATTGATGCAGAGAGATTTAGTATTTTAGTTTTGTGTAAATGTTAGTTTGATTAACTAATTTACAAAAAAAAACTTCCTATAGGTATATAATACTTACTTGATGGCGTATTTTGAAACATTCACATTGAATTTCCAGGTAGTCAATATCCAAGTATTTAGTAGGTAAGTTTTTAACTGTTTGCCTCTTAACTAATAAAGTCTCTGCCGACTTTACGTCTGATTGGAAATGCTATAGATCAGTTAAGTTTTCTCTAGGTTTTCTAAGGAGTAGTGTAGAAGAATAATCTAGTAATTCAAAATTCGAGCAGCAATGCTGTTTTTCTTAAAAAGGTATTTTTTTTAGGTGTAGTAAGCAAACACTTCAATAATCGAAAAACATTAAACATTCCTTACAGTTGCTACTTAATCTAGATTAGTAGAACAGTTCGATCGAAAAATTTATAATGTCCATTCCAACAAGTATAACCTTTCAAAATGAATACACACACAATATTTATATCATTAAACAATTGTGATAAAGACAAGTGACAAGAACGCAATAATATACGAAAAAAATAAATTAACGGCCACACCTGCCCAAACACACGCAACTTGACTCAACTATATCGATAATCGACCATTTAATAATGAACATCACTATCGTGATCGTACGTTAGTGATGTCCTTTTGTCGTGAGTGAAATTGATAATTTTCAAGAATTGACGTTTATTGGTTTTATAACCGTTATTTGTCTGTCGAGTACCTAATTGGTGACAGCAGTGTGTTGTAGAGTGATATTTGGAATAATGACACTTCACTTTCTAATAGCTATGGTTATTAATAATTATATTAATATAAATTGTTTTAGTTCTATTTATAAAAGTAATACTAAAATAATGACATTGTCTTAATTTTTAAGTTATACCTACATTTGCCGGGCCCGCTGGTCTAGTGGTTAGTGAGCCTGACTGTTATGCCAGGGGTCGTGGGTTCGATTCCCACCCAGCACAAATAATTGTGTGATGAGCACGGTCATTTGTTCTGTGTCTGGGTGTACTTTATCTATAAATGTATGTATTTAAAAATATAAAAGTATGTTTATCAGCAGTCTGGTTACCATAGCACAGGCTCTACCTAGTTTGGAATCAGACGGCCGTGTGTGAGATGTGTGAAAATATTATTATTACAATGTAAAGTCTGTAGCGTTGTCGTCGTACCAATATAACCTTTGAACATTAAGAAAAAGTGTACTCCAATCTCAAAGATTAGCACACTGTTGTGAGTTTTGAATTTCAGGTGTCCTTGTCCAATCTGTCTTCTCGTCTGTCCCTCATATCTTAAAGAAAGTACCAAGCACTGAAATAACTCTTAGACTTATTAAAAAGCTCTGCTATTTCTTAATAGGAATGAAAGACTACATGCCATATTTTATTAGCATGGAATATTAACAATCGAATATTGAACCATTGAATTAAAAAACAGAACGTACCACAAAGTAAAACTCCACTAGCATCGATCACTTTTCAACTCCATTCAATAAAACGACACTCGTTTTAAGCCAATACGACAAAAGGGCACTTAACACACGTCCGAAAACCGCTCCGCTTAAAAAGTGAAAACAAAACGCATCAATCAAAGAAGAGAAATGAAATAATCGAATTGTTGAACGAGCGCAGTTCAAAGAGCACAAACGAAGAACCGCAACAGATTCAAAAAGGTAAAACAAAATTGTGGAACATCACTAATATCTGGCTCAAAGTTCAGTGTCGATAACTGGAACAAAAGGAAACGGAAGGGGGAAGGCATTCAGAAATGGAACGGGAATTGATTTTCTTTTTAAATTTTGAACCGGATTGGTTCTTCTTTTTTACTGATATTTGACAAATGAAATGGAAAGCCTGTAACGTCCAATAGGGCGACAAGGATCTTTTGGCGCGTCAATGACGTTGACAAGATGGCGCAAGATTTTATTTATGATTGCCAGATAAAAGAAAAGGAAATAGGTATATCGTCATGCATTGAGTCATATAATCTTGGATTGACTTTGTGTTTAATTATAACTTATTAAAATGATTTTTCATATCCTTATTTAAATTACTTAAAGTCCGTAAACATATATTTTTTTGCTTCCATTGTTAAAAATGTTAGATTAGATTAAAAAAAGTAGTTTTAACTTTGTGGCACAATACTTAAATTGTATTTAAATTACAAATTGTCATATAAATAAAATTTAAATGCGACATTTGCATTTTTTATCATAACATTAAAGCTAATACATCAAAAGTAATCTTGAGTTTTCTTCGTAGCCATTGCATGTGGTTAAATAATTAGGTTACAAAAGTTTGAAAAAAAAAACCGTCGAACTAAAAGGCATCGATTGAATGGGAACTAGCGAACTTTTCTGTCACGAAACACGTTTTCGATGCACGATAGATTTTTACTGCTGTTCACTATCGGCTGTTTCCCCGCCAAAACTTATTTACATCCCAAGCGTTCGTTCACAAACGAAAATAAACCCAAATTTCTTACAATAAGGGCTATAAGGGCAGAAAAGAATTTGTTTATCGGTAATAAGATTTCCTCGATGTATTTTAGAATTTGAGGGTATTTTTTATTTACAACAGTGATAAAAATGTTTGCGGCCATGTTTTCTTTCGGATATATTGTTTAGTGTAGTCTTTGGATAGTCGTAAAATAGTTTTTAATGGTTTAGTAAATCATTATAATGATATAGGTAAGGAATACACTGTGCGGTACGAAGTAAGAACGTATTTGAGGAACGATTTCGTTAATAGACATTAAAATAAGCGGCTATTAATTTATTTTATTTCAACGTAATGGTAATTTAATGACGCTTTTATCTTGTCCTAAAACATAAATCTATCGAAATAAAATCGGTTAGTCGAGTTTCAGGCAAGACCATTTGATTTCAAATTTGATTCGATGCAACACTAGTAGAATGACATCCTCAAACAGATTTCAATTCACCGGTAATTTTGAACTAACAAGTACACGACCAAACCACTTAGCGACACGGCAAATTTACAATTCTAATTCACAGTTAATTTATATTATATTCAAAGGTATACATATTTTAGAATTTTGTCGAAAAATAAAGTTGTTAGAAGCCATTGTTGTAGGGGACCGAACGGGCAGGCGGCACGCGAGAGATCACTATCGATGACAAACTTACCGATATCTATCGAACAATCGATTGTACTATTAAAACAATTCTTATTCCTATGATAATTAGGTTTAAGATACAGCAACAAGTACTTGAAAACAGCAAACGTTCGATTTTTGAATTTTGGGTTTTGTCGTCAAATTGATTCGAAGTGTCTATATTTTAAGTTGAAGTGAGCGGTAAACGTTTTATGCGGCCTATTCTAAAAAGGCCATCAAATAGTTTAATAGTAATATAACCTTTTTTTTCATCTATTGATAATCACAAATAATTAACATGGCAATATTTTCCGCGGTTCATTTCAGTCATTCATACAAATTCTTATAAATAATACTAATTCAACATTCAAGTGATTGAATGAATACGTACATAATATTTGCTCACTATTTCAGAGCTCAACAAATTTAATAAAATAAAACCCTTCTGTGACTTGTAGCACAAATTCAACAATAAGTAGGGGCATTTCTAATAACGAGCTTATCTGTACCATCTGACCTCCCCCGCTAATGAATATTGATACGAATATGTAAAATATATTTAGTTTATACAGTTTCCGATGACTCATTTCACGATATAAGGGAAATCTATTACTGTGTGTCCCCCGCCATACTACCTTCATTCTTTGTCTATAAAATGATTTCTAACACGAACCTAAATTCCAAATTTAAATTTAAAACATAACGTTCTCTCCATCTTGTCATATACTTTGTTTATGGTAACGCTCATACGGCCTATAGTATTGTTCTATTTAGACACTAATTAACAGTAGTATTCGATTCGTAAAATCGACTAATCGATTCAAGGCGTGTGCTGTTCGTGCGGGCGTGTAATCCTGTTTGCATATCGGCCAGCACGAAACTCCCGCACTTATCATGTTTATTGATTGACACGCCAGTAACTCAACCTACCAACCCCACCGGCCAACTTGACCGTACAATTCTTTAGATGCAAGCGAGAATAGAAAACTAAAAAAAAATATGCAAATACAAAAAATTCCCATTCGATTTCGAAATCAAAAATTGTAGAAAATTGTCTTATAAAACGATCTTTAAAAATAATAATAAAAGTTAATAATTTTCTGTAATATTTCTACAAGACCTAAGTAATTCCTTGTAAAATAAACTTCTTCGCTACAGTTTATGTCTTAAGGCCCACGAATTCACAGGTAGCAGTTTAGGGCTTTGTTTAGGCAGCGATAAGTTTTTACATGTTTTATTCGACTATTTATTATAACATAAACTAAATTAAATTACCAAATAAATCATGTAAGAATTTACTACAAACATATTTTCCCGCGAAAATAATGAACACTGATGTTTGAATTTGGAATAACTTTGAATACTCGTTAAATGGCCGTCAATTCCTGGATTTTTTATAAAAGTTGTTTTTTTCTTATTAAAAATAACAATTAATTTTTAAAGTTCAAAATATACATACTTTTTGTTAGCTTGACTCAAAGAGTTTTAGTCACAGTACTTCATCTACGCCACTGGCAACACCAGCTATAGTAACATTACTAACGACTTAGGTCACTGACAGACTTCTCATTTTTCATACTTTTCCTCCAATCCTTTGTATTCCACAAACGCCACACAATTGTTCTTTTCGATTCACAAACCTGTCAATTTACTTTTTCGTAAGCTATCTTTGATCAAACTCACAAACAAATTAGTTTCGACACGAAAACCTAGTGGCCGATTGTCTGCAGACAATAGAATCGATGTTAGACCTTCCCCTTTCAATCGCCTTTTTCTTTTCCAGGCTGAACAGCAACAATAAGAAAAGTTAAAAGACACGCGACGTCTGAACATTAGATTACAGTTCAGAAACGATTATCGAATGAAGAATCGACTAGTTCTACAAATTTGAATGTAGAATGTGTTGTAATGCGCTTATGTGGTTCAGTGCACGACGGGATATGGTCAGTATGAGCCGGGCGTGAGACTCGGACGGATGCACCCCACGGGCGCGGCCAGCCTGCCCGCCGCACCAGAGGCGGAGGTGCAAGCTATGCACTCGATGGACTGGCTCTTCAAGAAAGAAAGAATATATCTGCTCGCACAGTTCTGGCAACAGGTAAGAATATCACATACAAAAAAATCTGGACCCTCGACTTACACACACAGGTATGTTAATGAAGATAACCCTGTGGTTGCGGTGTGGGGTCATTTATGCCCCCGACTATTTACAACCAATAACAACAATGTAACAAAATCAATTAATAGTTCTGCATTAGGTACAATTAACCCGTCGCCCGCCGCACGACCCCGATTGAGATTATTGTCACTATTGTTTCGTAATTACAGTGATTTTATGACTTACAGTTAATGTTGTCCTGCTCTTATGTCTCACTATTAACGGAAAACTATTAAGTAATTATTATTAGAGTCCATTACGATGCTGGTTTAAGGGGACTGTTTGCAGTACTAAGGTTATTGGACTTTAAAAATACTTTGAAAAAAAATATGAAATTTTAATTGTGTATGAAAATTTTCGAAACAAAAACAGTTTAAAGATTATTTGAAAAAGGTCTGTTGTTACAATGAGTTTTCTTCTACCATTCTCCTCTACCACTCATCAGTTATATGTTTATACCAGAAAATAAATGATTTTAAAAACGCATAATTATCTGTCATCTCTACATATACCAAACGAATTAAATTTATAATATATAAACATGAACAAGCAATTCTTTCCCTGCTTTTCACCGAATCGACGAGGTTACCAGAACCCGAACACCCAACAAAACTCTTTAGCCCCTCTCTGAAAGGGTGCAGGTTTCAACTCAAAAGACGCCAGGTGACCAGGGCCTTAATTCTGCTATTTTAATATTGTATCAGTAGACTGTCGATGGAATGTCGTCGGAATAGTTTTGCACTTTTCCTATTCTACTAACTATGTAAGACCAATGGCCTCCCGATAACTTGTCACTGAACAGCCACTGTTACAAAAATATCTTTGTAATAGTTTTGTTAAACGGTACATGTTAAATTTGTAAGTAAATGAATTACTTAATTTTTCAGATATGACAATGTTGTTGATATCACCATTGATGATCCATTGTCACTACATCGACATTCTATTAACACTGAATTTTTGTTAGTAGAATACCAATATTTTGACCGATGTCAATGGCATCTCAATAGCGCATCAATGGAATGAAAGTGGCTTGTACTTAAACATAAAAAAGTAGAATTCAGGCGTTGTATACTCGTTTGGCCTCGAAACAAAAATACATTATCTTCAAATATCACTTTAATTATTCCTACCATTATATATATATATATATATACCTGTGGTTTTAAGTGCTGTTCTCAGTTTTAAATGAACAATTACAGCAATACAATAGATGGTTGCAAGTATAGGTATATCTGTCCGATCCAATCTATGGCTATAATTCATAGATTTTTATCATCAATACTAAGGCCACAGGATGTTGAGGAGTAGGAAACCAGTTTATTGTTCACGCTGATGAGTTGAAAACGTTATATAAAGTACTTAATAAAATTTATATTATTACACTCTTATACTAAATTACTTTATAATTACGCATAATTAATAGTAAGACTACATTAAATATAAATATGGTCATTGAGAAATCCAGGACGGACCTTTTAATTTATAAGGTTTATGTCAAGTTTTGATTCTCTTTGCAGTGATGTTGTCCGGCATAGTTTGAGCTTAGTGATTGATTTGAACAAATTTATTACTAAAATATCTGAAAGAGCCAAAGTTTTATTATTATTATTAAGATGTTTCCACAATTAACTGTAGAATAACACGTCAGCTCCGGGTTACATCTATTAGGCATTCACTCCACGTCATCTTAGTGTGATGTTGGGAAAGGCTACTACATCTAACGTACTCCTGTAGAAGTAATTCAGTAGTTGTATAATATAAATACATAATTATTTATTTTACACCACATTATCTTGTATATAGATTTTGTATAACCATAAAAATGTACAAAAATGGGGGTTGTATTTCCGAATCTTAGAAGAAGCATTAAAGTACCTTTTTTTTTTTTTTTTTTTTTTTTACGCGGGGAATGCTTTTCGCACCATACCCTCCGTTGGGGAAACGTAGGGCGTGTGTGGGACTCCCGGAGAACCGGTCTACCCACTAAACCCCGCGGCGGCCTACCTCGGCAGTCGGGAGGGGCTCCAGGAACGCATCGGCGACTTCTGGAGTCCTCTCTGCCGTACCTCATGTCTGAGGCACATCCCGGAGTGATCGAAGTCACCCTGGGGCAGGACGCTACCGCACCTCTCACTGTTCTACAGAGTAAAAAGCGCAACAGCATCCCGCCTTAGACGACAGCCCCCGGCCGCACCGGAGTGTCATCTGTCTCGGGTCGTTTACAGCGGTCACATCGCCCCAAGATGTGGCCGCAGCGACCCTTAGGCGGCGATTGGGGAGTTAGCGACCTCTGCCACGTCCCCTTAGCATTAAAGTACCTACATAATACTGTTTCGAGTAATTAACATTATATTAAATAAGTATACCCTAATTATACTATACTTAGTCCATCCAAATTGAACCAGTTATTGTCACTCCAATTGTATTACACTAGAAATTAACAAAAAAAAAACAACAGATAATTAAAAAAAAAGTTATGTCAAAAAAATTATTGTTGTCTACTATACCTACCTACACAAAAATATTACTCATCATCATCATCATCACATCAACAGCCTTTAATAGTCCACTGCTGGACATAGGCCTCTCCTGAGAAAGGAGGTTTTGGCCTACTATACCACGCTGGCCAGACGGGTGGGTATAGGGATTGTATCAAGTTTTCCTTCTTTTTGCAGTGCTGGTGTCCTGCGTGGTTTTGCGCCCTTAGTCGCCTCTTACGACACCCACGGGATGAATTGGGGTAGTGACAAGTATAAACAAGAGGACATTACATCTGAGGCCCAGGAGCTAGTTTATTTCACTTCTACTCGATCGTCGAGGTGACAGCGTTCGGCGCTGCGATTGGCCCGCATTAAAATCTCCACCAATCGTAACGCTTAACGCGCTCGCCGTCGAGAGCGAGTCGATGGTTGCTGATCTATGACACGGCATTACAACGTCAAACGCCATTCAATAACAGCACGTACCATTCTCGTCTAATGTGTGTAATATTGAATAATAACATCCATCATGGCTGACACTCACGTACGAATTAACATCTAATATGGCGGATAGGATAAATATTATCGAGGAATGAAAGCGCTCTGGTACGCTTGCAATATATTAATTTAAAAAAAAAACTTTCATCATCATCATAAACAGTCTTTAAATAATCCACTGCTGGACATAGACCTAGATAAAGGAGATTTTGGCCATAAAGCAAGCTTTATTTTGACATAAAAATATTTATGCTCTAATAAATCCTATCGCCATCTTTAAAAACATATACAAGTTCACATTCCAAATATAAATTGACCATTATTTGTTTTGATATTTAAATATCGAACACATGATTTAATTCGCCAAAATACTTTAAAAAGTTATAAGCTAGATGGTCAGCTACATGTTCTAAATTTAAATTTCAATATGCCTATTCTAAACATAAATAAACATTTGACGACAAATTATGAACAATAGAGTATGATATTAAAGTACGCTAAATAAATATTCATTGTTGTTCAGGGAACAGGGCGCTGTTGGTGCGCCGATTCGTCCCACTGATACCCAACACATTTGAATGCTGGTACCCGATACTATTGTTAGTATTAAGTCCCAAGCTCTAACATTGATTAAAAAGCATATTTACATATAAAATTTGCATACTCCGTGCCTCGAATTGCACTTATCGATTAGAAGGTTCGCAAGGACGTTTTGTTTTAATTTCATAGTTAATTTTATGATGTTTCTCTACTAGTTTGCATATAAATATGCTCAAATGTGCTTTGCATGTTTGTATAATATGTCACTGTATATTACGGGTACTTTAGTCGGTTAATTCATTAATATGAATTTCTAGAATGTTTGTCCTTGTACGAAACGTTTTTGTGCAGGTGGTTATTTATGTTAAAGGAAAGTAGTCCGTTTTATATTATTACTAAAGATCACCTAGTCCTAACACTGACCTATTATGACGCAATGTACGAGTATCATCTAGACAAGGCCTTTATACTCGTATTACTTACCTCATCATCATCATCAACAGCCTTTACTAGGCCACTGCTGGACATAAGCCTCTCCTTAGAAAGGAGGTACTTACCTAGTATAATATTTTTTATTTCGATATGTTCCAAATTTAAAATTCAAAATACCAATTTGTTTTAAGTGTCAGTGTAACAATATTAGATAGTAAAAATGTGAAAAAAGACGTTCCGTGAAAAGTCCACAACAATCAAAGAGGTTTGTAAACACGTAAAAAATAGAAGTAACTAAACGCACATTATATTGAAATAAACTCCAAATCAATCTCTCTCCAAAACGTATACTCGTAGCAGCAATCGTAAAGTTACGAATATAAATAGATATACGATTAACTCTGTAATTAATACTGTTGTCGTTAAATTTTCTTTCTATTGCCTTTATAATCGTTCAATTTACTGATAGGATAGAGGAATTTTGACAAACTAGTATAATAAAACTAGCAATCCATAATCTCTTGGATTTATGAATAGAACGCCTATGCCTCTTGTTGAACTAGCAAGTGACAGTAACTGTCATTTGCAAAATGAGTGTCACAGACTATACAAAACTCTATGGTACTAAAATCCTTTCTATTTAAACATCCTCGAGCAATCAAGTGATTCTCAATTAAATTTTCAATTACTGTTTTCAGGCACACTCCGCAGTGTGGTTATAAAAGTTGAACAATTATTATCAAAACCAATAGCCATAAATTGTCGATGAACCACCCAGGAAGCGGCAAACGAAACGGTCCTGGAATGAATAAATGTTAATTTATCTTATAATTTGTCATTAAATTAATAGCATATTGGTCGGCGTAATGATAGTTAAATATTAAATCTGTCAATTTTAATAATAAAATAAAATATGGTGAAAATAGTACTTTTATATAAATGAACGAGCTAATTTAAGGTAAACGGAAATTGAAAAGGTGAATATCTTAAATTTGGAAAAAAGCTAGGGTTGTAGCAAAACTGAAGTCTTTTTGACATAACCGCCGCTAAAATCAATTATTTTAAATTTAAAGTAAAAGTTAGGGTTGTTGCAAAATTCTTTTAATTTCTTCCGCGATATCATTTCCCCCTATTGATTGCAGACAATATTTGAACGAAGGCAGCCAGAGAAGACTGTTAATAAAACTAACAATTAACAACAATAAAATCTTGGCGGCGTACTGCGTATCATTTTATTGTCAGTATAATTGAATAAGGTAGAGAATCCACTGTTTTACCGACCTGAGGAAAAAACTGTCGATAAAACAGTTTCATAAAATAGTTAAAACAATTCAAGGAGGAATACGTTTTACGGGATTAACTTATATTTCTAGTATGGCGCATTCTTCCGTGGGCAAGCCATGCTTCGACACAAATGGGCTAAGCTCTATCGGAGTGATACCACGGCCTCACAGAAAACCAGTGTTAACAAACTTTTTCGTTGTTTTCCACTGAGTGACTGTGGTTACCGGAGTCCAACCATACTTGATTTTTATTATTTTATTATTACTCAAAATGCATTTGTGATTCTTGGAAATGTCTAAATCTCTTGCTCCCTATAACATAAATAAATTGGCAACACAGGTCATGGCTAGTTACTAATATATACATTTCTAAGTCGTGAACGCACAAAAGCGGATTTAAATCGCTTCCAGATTACCTTTAACTTTAAAAATTAAACTTCGAACGTCCCATCCCAACCGTTAATTAGTGCTGGCCAAGGAACTTCACTGCAAACATTTGAATTTCGACGCCGTAATTAATCGACTCGATTCATCGGCCGATCGTATCGGTTCGGATCGTAAAAAGAGCATTTCCCTACGAGTTCCAAGCGGAATGCAATTGGTTCCCACAGCCTTGATGCCTCAAAGAATGTGTCCTGTGTCCCGCTTAGAGCAAAAAATTGCGTGCTTTCCCATGTCTACGTCAGTTCTGGGTCGAATGGTGACGCCACTATACCTAATAAAACGATGCGATTTCTTTAAGGAAAAGCAACAAGTGTAAAGTTTATTTTGAATTCTTTTACCACTTATTACCAATTTAATAAAAAAAAACAGAAAGCTTGTCTCCAAAAACGAGGGATTATGCGGCACGAATGGCTCAAACAAAAACTGTAACCTGTATTTAAAAATCGATTGCAACCAAAAATTTGTCACTGACAAATGATTCGAACGCCTTGCGGTTGAAATTACGAATTCAAATCTTCGGATTTCGAACAAAAACCGCCATTAACTGTCGGTTGTTACTTTTTTCGATTGTCAATGATTTTTGTGGCTAATCGTGTTTTTTTTGTCGATCCGTTCAAGGCTAATCGATGCATCGAGTTCACTAATTTGATTTGCGACCCTCCCCTTGTATCTATAAGTGGGCGTGCCCTATCGATCTTCTCTAGTTAGATCATTACCTTAAACTAATCAACTCGAATCAACTGCAGTTGGATAGTTTCCAATTGTGAATGGTCTGGATAACACAAGTCTTTGTTTAAATGATTTCGGTAGCGCAAAATTGAACGTTTAAACCGCGAAGCACACACGAATGAAACTTCATACCTCAATAATTTAATAAAATTATGAGAAGGTAAAAAAATAGAAAGAATCGATTGTGGTTGATGGGCGGCCGCACGAATCATCCGTGGAACATTCAAATCATCAAGCGCTGATGGTTTTTTAATGATATTTTTCACAATCGGCCCGATCATTGATGGTTATTAGGTATAGGCGAATGCCTCGAGATATGAATGTTAAGTCTTCGACACAGTTAACATCACCTTACCAATAATACATATACTAATCTGATCTTTATTGCGAGTGTACAAACAGCATTTTTCCTTTGTAGTGGTCAGTTATTACTGGTATTTCTATGTGGTCGGATAGTTGATACGTGGTGGGAACGTCTCCAAAGATATAAAAACTAAAAGAATTATAGATGTACAGAACAGAAAACTTTACCTTGTCGTTGCTATGTAAAGTAGTTAAAGATACAGTTGAAATTCTCAACAATCATAAAAATATTATAAATCTTCTCTTCAAATTCAAGTCTAATACATTTGTACTGTACTTATTTTTTTACTAACTGCATAAACAAAACAATATATCGATACAAATATCGACTAAACAATGGCAAAACGGGTAGCATCCCGACGGGGCGCAGTGTACAACTCATTAACATAATCTTAACCGCTTTCAACTGGTTTCTACTAATTTCCCACTCGCCGCTCGCGTGTTTAGTCAAGTCTAGCGCGAGTGTTTGTAAACACTGGCATGAATGGGAACTATCGACACGTTTCAATTTGGAATACACCTCTATGGTATGCATCGGTGAACGTTCATCATTATGAATGCACATCACTATTGATTACACTTACGTAATGAATGAGTTTAAGTGATGTGATAGGTAAATAACTAGTGTTGTTTTTTATACTTTTACGTAATTATTAGTAGGGTAGTACATTCTCATTCTCATAATTTACTAGCTTTTGACAGCGACTTCGTCCACGTGGCGGTCGACATCAGACAACGTAGAGGATATACTATTACCAAAAATAACAAAGTTTTATTTAAATATCTAACCTGCATCCTTAGGGGTGAAATTAAAAATCCTTTCTTAGTGTCACCTAAGGAACATTTGTGCAAAATTTCATGCTTTTAGATACAACGGTTGCAGCTGTGTGATCAGTCTGTGAATCTCAATGTTTCTTCTTTTATAGATATAGATTTGACAGGCAAAACTAGAAGAGCACTACAAAAATACGCTTTCCACTTGTAGCGATCCCACACATTTGTGGGGGGCAGGAAGGGTCATATAAATAGTGGGGTATCGTGTATAGATGATGTATGAAATGATATTGATGTCTGTTTTGCCTGATACAAGATATGCGGGCAATCCTGAAATTGAACAGACATATATGCCCCGAAGAAGAAGTATTTTCTTTCTTTTTCGGTCTCCCCTTCCCTCCTTAAATCTAAGACACCCCTCGGACCGAGAGTATTATTATTATATATTATAATAATTACTTTACATGTAATATAAATCCAATACTCCTAATATGACACAATAGCGTATTATAACGTTAATTCGGTCGATAATCGTCATACATAACTAGTATTTTCATTAATAACTGTGTCAGTACAAATGGTTTGTAATAAATGGCCTATTGAGCGCTGTAATAGCCGAGAATAGAACCTTGAACTGGTTGTCAGCTCTTTTGTATATACAACTTGAATAATTAACTTCTAGAAAAGTATAATTGACTTCGATTGGCGTAAATATGATGAATTGTAATATCTTTTTGACAGTGGATGTCCAACTCTTTTCCACCTCAATCCGAGGTAGCTGAATTGCAGCGGTGATAATCCTCAGAGATATCAGATGATTATTTATTTTTGCTAAAAGTTTTAACCAAAAGAAGTTTCATTTGCCGACACAGTGGGATTATTTATTTGTTTGTTTGGTCCACTTTCATAAGGGTAACAGGTTAAAAGGACATAGATAGGTAGGTATTTCCTCCCTATCCTAAAAAAGTATTGTGCCCAAAAAATAAGCTTTACTTTA